CGGTGCCTGCGCGGGTGAAGCACAAAGCGATCACGGCGGGCGTCGTCGGCGGCATCCTGTTCTTCATCGTGGCCATCATCCTCTCCGTCTGCGCCGTCAAGATCTGCAACAAACGTAAACGACGTAAGCAGGAGAAAGGTAAGGCACGCACCGCGGCCGCTAGTCCGCTACCGGCGCTAGTACTTCCCGCGATCTTGATCAGCACTAGCTTCTACGGAACTTCCTAATGACTTCGCTACAACTGGCTAGTTACAACACTATGTATAAAAATATACATGAACTCTATAACTCTTGAAATAATTGTACCTACACTTAACTTGACCTTATACACAGATTTGAACACTATAAATAAAAGTATAACATAATATTACTTAGTTTGGCTATGTTGGTATCGTACAAAAATAAATACGTTTACCCATAGCTCTGAAACATGACGTACGTCCTAGTGGAGTGTACGTACTGAGCAACAATATTGCCAGTAGTATGACTGTGGTATAAATAACACCAAGTTCCTTTGGCTCTTTACATAAATGAAACATCGCAGTTAGGCTTCCTTACATAACTTACCATATTGTCGGCATATTACATATTCGTTCGTGTATTATCTGCTTATTTCATACACATTGACATTTCCTTTCGAAGCTTTTTGCATGACTTTATATTTATGTAAATTAAGCATTTTAGTGTTAACAGTAAGGTAAGAATAAATGTACAACTAGACAAGAATCTACTCGTTCACATTTGTGTTGAAATATGTAACTAGAACATGAATTACTTCCTTACGATGTATTACTTACTGTACCGCAAATGAGATACTTAAAAAGGCTACCTAACCATATTTTCTATAATCCTTATTCAACACAACTTTGTCTCGTACCCGTCGCTAGATCGTTGTTATTACTTTTCCTATAGGTACTTAGACTCCTAGCTGAAATGTATGGAATAAATGTACTTTATACATAAACAATAGATAGTAGTACTTATAATTTTGTGTTATGCATGTCTGAGCACATTATGTTCCTACTTGTGTTTATTACTGTTTATCCATATTCTCGTCTGTTGCTCTCGTACTCACGAGGACATCTCATTACTGCATAGTTTCATCGCTACGTCCACTGGAATGAACCACTGATTCTACGAAATCAACTCATAATTGAAAATCAGTACAGCGTTTGCTATTTAATAACTTTATTTTACTTGCGAACATCGTAATTATTAACAAAGAAGTAGAGTAGTGTCCATTCCAATGGTGGTTGTGTTTGGTTGACAATATGGTGGGTGGTGGCGGGGGGAGGTAGCGTGGGTGGCGGGCGGCGGCCGTGGCTGGGTCGGGGAGGAGCACCACTTCACTACGTTAATGTTCAGAAATTATTCGATTGCAGCATACAACATGGTAGCCGCGCGACTGACAGATCTCCGCGCCGCTGATAGCACTCAAGTGCCTTTTAAAAAGTAAGTAACTGGCAAAATGCACTTGATATAACGCAACTAATTGACTTATTTTGTGCTGTCGATCAATTCTAACTCTGTACTCACTACATTCACGCTGCTTAAAACAGGAAATCAGGTTAGTTGTGTGAAGTCTCTTTCCTTTATGCTGCTGTGATGTTATAAGAGTGAGACTAAATCAATATAACTTGTATGTTGACACAGATTTAGAGAACGCGGAATATCGAGTATAGTGCAATGTTTGCGGTTCACTGCAAACTGGGTGTGGCCAGCGTCGAGATGCGGGGGCTCGGTGCGCTACTGGGCGTCGGCGCGGCGCGTGTCGGCGGCGCCCTCCGGCTCGCCGGCGCCCTCGCTGGCGCCCTCCTCGTCCGACGACGGCGGCTTCCTACCGCGCCTCCGAGCACCGCTGCGGCCGTCAGCCGCGCCGCCGCTGTTCCGCGCGTCGTCGCCGGCGCTGGCGCTGCACTGGCCGCCGTGGCCGCCATGGCCCCCGTGGGCTGCGGCCTGGACCCCCTGGTCACCGTTGCACGTGTCTGACCTCAGCTCCGTGCCCTTCCCGAGTTCTGCCGACGGCTCATTCCCCACGCCTCCTTCTCCGTTCCGCCTCAGATCGCTACGGCAGAGCGCTCACGACCCGCTCCGTGCCGCTACCGGCCCGCTCGCTAGACCCCGCGCCCGACCTCTGCCGCGTCACGCGCGGCCGCGAGCAGTAGCGGACTTGCCTCCGCCTCCCCACGAAGCTTCGCCCGAGAGTCGTTCCTCATCCAGCGGGTTCGGCAGTAAGAACGCGTCGTCCTCGCAACACAACCGCAGCAGTAGGACCGGCAGCCTGGCGGAGTGGCGG